TGTGTGTGTGTGTATGTGTGTGTGTGTGTGTGTGTGTGTATGTGTGTGTGTGTATGTGTGTGTCTGGGTTTGAGTACGCAGAGGTTGACTCGTTAGCAGCGCCAGGTTCTGTGTGTGGACTAAATTGTGTGCACGTGCTAGGTAGAGTTTTATAATGAAGGCATATGAAAACACACTATATGGGGCACTTTGCCTGTCATGTGCAAATGACACCTAAGATTTCAGAGAACTTGTTGTGCCATCTTGTAGCGTACGGTGAATATTATGAACTTATTTTGAAAATTTTACCAATACATGATCAACAGTGAACAGATGGAAGCAGGGTTACCGATAACCACCATACATTGCGATAAGTTTCATTGATCGATCTCCTACTAAAAAACAGACGCTAATTCGGTAGGAATTGTAGCTGTGTTATACGACATATTACGCGGAAGGGTGGAGGTCGGGGTGTTTATGTATACTCGATATAGTATCATGCTGGCAGGATTTAGCAATTGAAATTTTGAAGGCCGTTTCAGACATGCAAATATGGCACGCCCCAATATTGATAGCTTACGCTGATGCATAATGCATTGTCATGTGCAGAAAGGAGGAACATATAAGAAGTACGAAGATGGAAACAGGGATGGACGATCCACTTAGCGACGGATAAGTTGTCGGAGAAGGAGAAGGCCGTGGTACAACGCTTACAAGATTAAGTGCAAGTGGAGAATGGAACGGTCTGGACATCCACGTACAACGGGGAAACAAAAGAAGAACTAACACTAACCGGGCATGATTTGAGCTTGATATTGCTTTAAGGCAAATGGTTGAACAACGAAATATATAACTTTTATTTGAACCTCGTTAGGCTTGACAACATGTGTCGCATAAGCCATCACGAGTGTGACAGTGGACAAGACAGAACTGTAGTAGAAGGAAAATGTCGCATCCCGATAACAACAATTTTTAGTTCCTTCTTCTTCACAAAATTGTCCGATGACGATATGCAATACAAATATAGCGCATTGCGAAAGTGGATGGCAGATATCGATGTGGGCGACGTAGACTTAATAATAGCTTCATTCCATGTTCGGATGTCCAATCATTGGACACTAGTAATAGCGGACTTGAGACTCAAGAAAATGGAGTACTACGACTCGCTTACCCCTGATAAAGAATTCGCAAGGAAAGTGACAGGTGGTTTCGCAAGATTTTTGTTCGAAAGATCAGTTGAACAGGGTAAGGTGGTAGATACAAAAGATTTCAACCACATATGAAATGTGTCAGGCATTCCTAGACAGCGCGGCATTAACGAATGTTGTGTGTTTATGCTAACATACGCGTCACTATTGGCAAGAGGATTTCTCCCGCCGTTCAACTTCTCTTTCGACGACATCCAGGATATAAGGAGACGGATCACTTTAGATGTACTTGTCACTCCGAAGTAGGGGTGACTTGTGCAACAAAGGACATATGATAGATAACATTATCAAAGCAAATCCCTTGTTCATATTGTGCAAATGTAAAGAGTTTATCAGCTATGCTAGATAGACACCCATGAACATGTTCGGATGTATTTAACAAAGAAACAGCGTGACATACCCGATTGAACACCATTACTGTGTTACTCAGCTGAGCTCGTACCATTGCTACCCCTTACCCCTTACCCCTTACCTATATTACCCCATATCCCTTACCCCTTACCCCTTACCCCTTTACCCTCGTACCCCCTTACCCCTTTACCCCTTTACCCCCTTACCCTCTTACCCCCTTACCCCTTACCCCATAACATACTTAATAAATTACATACAAAAAATCGCAAAAAAAGGACTTTCAATTTCGCGCAAAAATTAAAAAATGTTCGTTTTAACGAAACCGTTGTTATCCATAGGCCCTACTAGCAACAGTTGACTTTGAGAAAGTCAACAGTCAACCGCAACACGTGAATCCAGGCCCAAAGGTGACAGTCAATTTGCAGGTATACACAAGAATGCATTCCAAGTGGGACACGTGGGAATTTGGGAAATCTACAACCGTGCAGCATCCAGGCCACTGGCTTCCAATTGATCTAGCCTGTCTACCCCGGGAGACCAGAGGCTGGTCAACATGAGTCAACACTGTAAGCTGACCCAGGCCCTGCTTGCAGATAATTCTGCCTTGTGCTAGCTTGATGGTAGTTGGACATTGGGGGGCTGCAGGGAGATTACGGTGGCGCCAGTTTTTCTCTGCAGGCACCAATTTTAGACAGAAGATTTTGCTTCAGCGGCTACCGCCGCCTAGATTCAGAGACTGATAGGGGAGCGGAGGAGGAGGAGGATCTGGACTGTGAGATTATTGTGCACGATAAGGGGAAGCTTACCTGAACTTACCTGTGTCATCTTTCGTGCTATGCTGCTTGTCTCCAACTGGGTAAAGAGGGTCTGTGCTATCCTCCTTAATTGTTGCTGGCATGGATGGAATATGGGCGCCCTGGTGCGACCTACTTATTGTATATGTTAGAGACCGTTAGAGGAGAAATGTATTGCTGAGTTGGCAAGAGAGGGGGACGTTTGAGGAGGAAGTGGGCATGAGGAGGTTACTATTGCTCTATTGATTCACGTCGGAACTCTCCTCCTCCTCCTCTTTGTTTTTTTCTCCCCCTCGTCTCACTCTCTTCTCTGGGACTTGGGATACTGGGAGATTGCATATACTTCGGGCATAGACACATAAACGGTTTTGGATACAACATTGTTGCGCTAGGTCATACTTGTATCATGACATTTTCTAGCTTCTCATCTATCTCGGTTCATTGTTACGTTTGAAACGGTTTTCACCTTTTAGCAGTAGCAGATATAGACCCAGGGCTCGATCCCTAAACCTCATCCTACCCATGTACAATATTTGTGTAGACCCGAGAGTTGAACCTGTGACCTGTGTATTTGTAGACAATTGGTAGGTCTGTCATAGGTCCATAGGTAGCAAGGGTTCGATCTGTAGATCTATAGGATATAAGTCTTAGTGAATTCCAGAAGTCTAGCTGTAGTCCTTCTAGAAGGTAGGCAAGTGGGCAAGTGGTCAAGTGGCGAGGCAAGTGGTGGACTAAACTGCAGTGCAATCGCAGTACGACTACGGTAGGATGGAAGTGAGTCCACAGTCAGTCAGCGGTAAGGTCTAGTCAGTCCCAGTCCGGTCCAGCAAGTACCATGGGGGACTGTGAGCACCATGGGCCGATGGAAAAGGGTAGACCAACGAGTTTCCGAAGTATAAATCAAGAGGCGGCGCCCAACCTTTCATTGATTCCTGCGTGAGCCATGCAGAAGCGTTGTCACAGCGACTAGTGCAAGGAGGTCTGCAGTGAGCCCGGAGGACGCAGTGGGCGAGAGAGAAGGAGCTTAGTATAGCGATAGGKTAGAGGCAGCCATAGCTGCCATAGATGTAGTTAGTGTGAAGTGTGAGTGTGTATGTGTCAGTGTTTAGAGTGACGCGTGTGGGATATCCAGGGTAATCCGATGTGTGTGAACAATGAGTTGTTTGGGCGCTGAGTCGCCAGCGCCAGTTGAAAGTGAAGTCGTATCTGGAAGCCATATCTCTGAGTTTTGAGTGGGCGCATGTGGCCAGTTTGCTGTGCTGTTGTTTACATGCATGAAAAGCGTGAATAAGAACGAGTCTGATTGCACGTTTTACGATATCCGCATAATTGTTTTTACTTGTTTTTAATGATTGGGGATCCCCTTCCGAATGAAAGTGTCGGCACCAAGGTGTGGTGGCTGTTACATGCTGCGCGTGCACACGCGGGCCATTTTTCAGGCCCTGCGTCCTTCACGCCAAAAGCCTGAATTTCAGGCCGAAAGCCTGAAACCCAGGGCTTACAGGCCCCATGTCGGCTCAGGCTAAAAGCCTGAATTCCAGGGCCACACCCCCTATTGAAACGGTTTCCACCTTTTAGCAGTAGCGGGTGCAGTACCCAGGGTTCGATCCCTAGACCTCACCCTACCTATGTACAGTATCTGTATTCCCGAGAATTGAACTTGTGACCTGTGTATTCGTAGACCATTGGTAGGTCTGTCGTAGGTCCATAGGTAGCAGGGGTTCGATCTGTAGGTCTATAGCGTAGAAGTCTTAGTGAGTTCCGGAAGCTTAGTTGTAGACCTTCTAGAAGGTAGGCAAGTGGGCAAGTGGTCAAGTGGCGAGGCCAGTGGTGGACTAAACTGCAGTGCAACAACAGTACAACGTCGGTAGGATAGTAGTGAGTCCACTGTCATTCAGCGGAAGGTCCAGTTAGTCCCAGTCCAGTCCAGCAAGTACCACGAAGGACTGTGAGCACCATGGGCCGATGGCAAAGGGCGGACCAATGAGTTTCTGAAGTATAAATCAAGAGGCAGCGCCCAACCTTTCATTCAGTCCTGCGTGAGCCATGCGGACTCGTGCAAGGAGGTCTGCAGATGAGCCCGGAGGACGTAGTGGGCGAGAGAGGAGGAGTTAGTATAGCGATAGGTTAGAGGCAGCCATCGCTGCCATAGCTGTAGTAAGTAGGAAGTGTGTGTGTGTGTTCGAGTGTTCAGAGTGACGTGCATGGGATATCCAGGGTGATCCGGCGTGTGTAAACAGTGAGTTGTTGGGCGCTGAAGTCGCCATAGCCAGTCAAGAGTGAACTCGTACCTGGAAGTCATATCTCTGAATTATGTGTGGGCGCATGTCGCCAGTTGCTGCGTTGTTGTTTACATATATGAAAAGTGTGTTTGAGAACGCATCTGATTGCATTGGTATCGGAGCTGGTACCCACTATTCCATGCGCGCCGTCATATGCAGGACCTGATGCGCCATAGCCGAGGTGGCCGCCGAAGGTGATAGTCCGCCATAGCGGACCTGAGGTTAAAGAAGCCGCCTCGCACCTGCAAGAAGACCACGACGAAGAAGGAGAGAGAGAGAGAGAGAGAGAGAGAGAGAGAGAGAGAGAGAGAGAGAGAGAG